TGTTCCCAGGTCCTCTGCCATCCGCAGGTCAGGCAGCACCAGCCCCCTGGGCTTTGCACGAGCCAGTCCGTCACCCCCATCCCATGCTGAGCATGGAGCTACCCTGGCTAGGAAGCTCTCCCTAGGCGGGGGCCGGCCCTACACACCATCTCCACAAGGTGAGCCTGAGCGCCGCTGGTGGGCACAGCCTCTGAACTCGGGTGGGACTGGCAGTCTGCATGGCCGTGGTGGGGGCATACCATCTCTACCTGGGGCACTGACCTTGGCAAACCCTTTTCCCCAAGTTGGAACTATCCCCGAGCGGCTGGGCTGGAGTGGTGTGCCCTCCCCTCAAGGAGCCGAGATGCGGGGTGGCAGGTCCCCTCGTCCAGGTAGGTGCAGCCCCACCCTGGGCATGAGCGTGGATCTGGGGAGGGGCACGGAACCCCAACTGACCTCCCACACTTGGGGTGGTGCCATATTCCTGATCTCACAGCCTTCACCTTACAAGTAAAAGGAAGGTAGACAACCCCGTGAGACCGACTGTGGGATTTGTCTCCCCTCCCCCTCTCCATACTGTGTGACCTTGGGCGGGTGTCCTCAGGTGCATAGTAGAGCATAGGAGTACTGCCACGCAGGAGGCTGTGAGGGTAAAGGGCACAATGAACAGACCTGCTCAGGCCTCCATGCGTGCTCCTGGTGGGTGGCGTTTGGGCTGTGCAGGCCGTCAGGCCCAGCGGCCCACAGACGCAGTGACTGGCCCGTCCTGTCCCATCCTAGGCTCCTCCATGCCTGAGCACTCTCCCCTCACCACTGGGCTGGGTGGCCGCCTGCACAGCGCCCCCAACCTGTCTGACCTGCACGTCGTCCGCCCCAAGCTGCCCAAGCCCCCGACTGACCCACTAGGGGCTGCGTTTGGCCACCCGCAGGCCAGTCCCCCCCAGCCATCCCATGGGCTGCAGTCCTGCCGGCCCCTGCGTGGCTCACCTAAGCTGCCTGACTTTCTGCAGCGGAACCCCCTGCCCCCAATCCTGGGCTCCCCCACCAAGGTAACAGGGCCCGAGTTCTGGGCGGTGGGTGGGAGGGGTACACCCTGGGAAAGACATGCTCAGTACTGAATATCGTCTTCCCTCTGCTTGGGCTCTCTAGCTGTCTGCCTGAAGGGTTTCCACGGGACACGGGCGCCCCGAAATCTAGAGGCAGTGCCATCAATGCCAAGATCTTTTGCACTGGCGGGTGGCTGGCTCCACGAGTCTCCCGTTTACATGTAGGGTGCCATGTTCCTGTGGCACATGGGTCCCCAATGCCAACTCATCTGCTGTGTGGCCCGTAGCAGAGAATGAAATGGGTCCCGGCCCTGGCCCCGTGGTCCACAGCCCAGGAAGCCCAGGCTGCCACCCTGGGAAAATTATTTGGTCCATTCCTGGGACTCGGTTTTCTTAACCTGTGACATGGGGCCAGAACGGGTAGCCACCTCCTGGTGTCACCGTCAGGCTCAGGGTATGTGTTCGCGTAGCACTTGCTTCCAGCACAGAGTGGCGGTGACCACCTGCAAGTCTCACACCTTTGCCATAAAGGCGGGTCCTGGAAGTTTGGGGCTCTGTGGCCAGGGCCCTGCAAACACAGCCAATGTTGCCCAGCCATTGGGGTGTTCACTGCGGTGTGGTGGGGGCTCCGAGGGGGCCATTCTCAGCACCCACTGCCCCTCCTAGGCCATGCCTGCGTTTGACTTCCCCAAGACCCCCAGCTCCCAGAATTTGCTGACCCTCCTGGCCCGGCAGGGCGTGGTCATGACGCCACCTCGGAATCGGACGTTGCCCGACCTCTCTGAGGCGGGTCCCTTTCAAGGGCAGCAGCTGAGCCCTGGGCTGCGGCCCACGGAGGACACCAAGGGCCCCTTTGGCAGGTGAGTGGGCGGGACCCCCCCATCTGTCACATGGTTCCACCTGCAGTCTGTTGGCGCTCCCCCAAGGCTGG